AAGAGGTGTTTCTTTGGGAGATCAAATTTGAGCAAATGGTCTTTCTATTTCTCACCTATAATATGCAGACGATGTGATAATCTTCTCGGAAGCGACTCTCGAAACTACTAAAGTGATTAAATCTGTTTTGGCAAATTTTTGTAATTGGACATGTTTGTCCATCAATATTAGCAAATCTTCTATGATGTTCAGCAAAAATGTTAGAAGAAGGAGGAGGAGATCTATTGGCTGAGTAATGGGTTTCAAATAAGCTAATCAACTAACTTATCTTGGAGTGAAGCTTGCAATGAGAAGGTCAGTCAAAGAAGATTTTCTTTTCATTATTGATAAAGCACTGAGAATGACAAACACTTGGGGTGGAAGACTGATTTTGCTGGCTGGTAGAATCATGTCAACAAAATCTGTTTTGCTTTTCTTCACTACTTTTCATTGCACTAACTCCCTTGTTCCAAAAAGCATTCTTCATGAAGTTGATAAAATTTGTAGAAGCTATGTTTGGAACAAATATAATGGTAGAAATGGCATTCATTATGTTAATTGGCAAACTATGTGCTTGTCAATCAAATGGGGAGGTAGGTCCCTTCACTCTTGTTGTTCTACTAAAGTTGGTCCTCTAATATCCAAAATTGCTTGGAAATATTTGAATGATAAAGATTCATTTCTCCACAAAGTGTTCTTTCCTAAATATGGGAATTTGTTGGAAAAACTTGACAGTAAAAATTTGGGATCTTCAGCTTGGAAAATTCTGAGACCGGGAGGGAAGTGTCTATAATGCCTCTTATCAGATGGAAGTTGGGTAATGGGTCTGACATTGATTCTGTAAATGACATATGGATCCTGGATAAGAATATTGCTAAATGACCAACCTTCATTACTCCTATTGAATGTAGCAGATTCACTGTTTCAAACTTCTTACATAATGGAAGTTGGGATGTGGAAAGCATGAGAAGATTCTTGGGAGAAGATTTGGTCAATCTTATCTTACAGAATATTGTACCAAATGGTTTGAATGAAGACTGTATGGAATTGATGTTTCAATACAATGGAAGATCTCTTTCGTCCATGGTCTTTGAATTCTTGGTGAATCATACAGAACCGAAAATTTTCTGGAACTGGATGAAGAAAGCAAAGCTAAACCCGAAGGTTGAGTCTCTTTGGTGGAGAATTTTCAATAATAGTCTTTCTACTTGCGAATTTCTTGAACACAGAAGATTGCTTAGGGAAAATCTATGCCCAAGGATCTGTAATGAAGTTGAAGATAGAGATCATATTGTAGCTAATTGTGAGAAATTGAAGGAAGTTCTGAAACAGATCAAAGAATGGGGTTTTGTTTTTCATGATTTACATTCTCTGCAAGACTGCTGTAATCATCTATCTTCTCAAACACCATTAATGATAAATCTTTATTGTTCGGCGGTGTATTTAACCTGAAAATCAAGAAATAGTTTCATTCATAATGGGAAGGAGGATAGTTCTCTTAGCATAGCTTCCAAAGCAATTAGTTATGCTTCATTCTTCAAACTTGGAAAAGATAGTATTTTGGGTATATGGGATGTCAACCAACCTTATAGGTTGTTTAACCATCATTGGAATCCCCCTTCACCTGATTGGCTCAATGTCAATATAGATGCTACATTACTTTCTTCATACAAAGTTGGAATTGGAGGAGTGTTCCAAGATCATAAAGGAAGATTACTTCTAGCATTTGGGAAACCGTACACTCATTAGGATATATCTGCCTTGGAACTTTTGGCCACACAATCTATTAAGAAGATGCTAAATGATTGGATGTTTAAATACATGAGAATCATCATAGAAGGTGATAATATCAATACCATTAAGCTCTTGAAGGATGTCAAGAAAAATGGAGAAACAAGGTATGCAAATATTCATATATTTGATGAATTTACTAATGTCATTTTCAATTGTGTTGATAGAAGTTAAAATAAGTTAGTGGACTTATGTGCTAACTATGATATCTTGTCCTCTTATATTTGGGATGATGTTAGTTTCAATAAGACTCCTCCTTTATTTATGTCCATATTAATTGAGGAATCAACGGTTTGAGTCCTTTGCTTTGTAATAATTTGTTTTTTTTTTTCCTTCTTTAATGCTAATTGAGGCATTCTCTTCAAAAAAAAAACCCACAAAAAAAGACACCAAGATCTTTCAGAACTTCCTTTAAGTAAAGAGAGGCCTCCCTTTTTTTGCCCCTTTATATTTCCAAAAAATAATAGACTTCATTAAGACACCAAGGGGGGAGGGCACCCGTTCCTTTTTTTAGACAACACATCATTTTTCCTTGCACGAGTACGAATACTTACAGGACCATGAGATTTCACTTCCTTTTGAAGTTTTACTCTGCTCCTAGTTGAAGAAGCTTCAATAGAATTCATAACATGATCCCCACATTCAACTTTGCTATCAGATTTTAGTTCCAGATCAGGTCCATCTTTGCAATCAGATTCTAAACCCGAATCATCACATACTCCATTCAGCACATTAAGTACATTATAAAAAAGTAGGAAAGATATCCAACCCAGGCTCCAGAAATGAATCTATTGCTTCTCTAGAGTTCCCTGTTACTTTTGGGTCCCTAACATAACCTCCAAAATTTTGACAATCAAAAACCTCATGCTCCTCTCCTTCTTCTAATACCACTGGCAATTGTTGGGCACTCATTGATTTTTCCTGAAGCTCCTTGATAGCCTCCAAGCCAACAAAAGGATCAACAATTTGCTTAACTGAAACAAAAATTCCACCAGAAGAAGCAATCCTCTTATTATTGTCCTAGCCTTTATCTTGTCTCCCTTTCCTCAGTGTATCCACCACCTTTCTCCTTCTATTATAGTTTACATTGACCCAAGGACAATAATCAGCTTCTTTTTCTACTTCTTTTGACATAGAAACATCCGATGCTTTAGTTTCAACTTTAGAATTTAATACTTCTTAGCTAGTAGTAGATCATACTTCCAACAAACATTCATTAAAAAGATCTACAATTTTACCACATTTGAAACAAAAGTTAGAAAGCGTCTCATATTGGATCTTTTGAAAAACACTTCCCGAGGAGCTTTCCACCCAAACACCATGCAGAAGATGCTTGTCTAGGCAAACCCGAACACAAAATCTTACAAATTCTCTTTCCCCCCATTGAAACATATTTCCATCAATCAAAAGAGGAGTCCCAATTAAAGAACCAATCCTTAAAACATTTATTTCATCCCAACAATTAAAGGAAGGTGACGCATCCTAATCAAAATTGGGGATGATAAGCCTCTTAATGAAGTAGGAGAAAAGCTAGGGCTCCATTTATCAATCCCTACAATATGATCGTTAACACACCAAGGGCCACCTGATAAATTATTCTCCTTTGCTTCAGCCGAGAAGAAAGAACATAACACCTAGCCTAGTCCAAGAGTGGTGAGGTGAAAAAAAATTTACCAAATTATGTCCACTAGCGACGCAGCTCCCCTGTAATCATATAAATAGGAATATCTATCCCAAATACTTTGACAACTACGTAAAACTGTAACTTCTCTGAGTTGAATAACATACTCTATTCATGCAATTTCACTCCCATTCCATTTGTAGTAATGAAGGAGTTATCTCCAGAAAATTGAACCTTAATATTCGGCCTCTTCACCCAGGATTTCACCATAGTTTTATCAGATGTATTACCATTTTCCACTACGATGCTGACATCTTCCGTAGCTTTGCTTGATGACATCAAATTCAAATTCTTCTTAGAGGTTTTAAGAAAAACAGTTGAGCTCTTGCCACAATTATTTTTCAATGGAAAAACTTCTCTGCCAAAACATCTGATTTGGCATTCACACCACCAAACCTATTAACCAAAATATTCATACCCGACGAGGATGATGCTTCGAGATCATTCGGCCTACCAGCAATGGACTTAACTCCTAAAGAATGAGGGGTTTTGAAATCCACACCATTATCCTCTTCAATGCTTTACCTTTTCCAACAAAAATGGGAGAATACTTCAGATTAGGAGAAGAAGGTTCCCTAATAACCAAGGGACCATTCAAAAGCGAAGGAGTCCCAAATTGAGATGATTTTGAACCACCTAATAATCTAGAAGATTCTGATGATCCACCAGTTGAATTTCGGCGACCAGGGGAGATCGCTGCAACCGTAGTAGCCATATCCGAGAAACCCGCCAAATAAGCAGAAGAAAAAAAACTCTGAAAAAATCGGACTTTATCTCTCTGAAAAAATCGGACTTTCTCTCTCTAATGCTTTTAATAATTTGGGATACTTTTCAATTGTGGATTATCCTTTGGAGTGTGATTCCAAATGGTCATTGTCACAAAGGATCCCTAAGGTCTGTCCCGTGAATGTTTGAATGAATTATACCTTGTCGATTAAAAACGTAGTTCAGTTATTTTGATACTCTATGGCAAATAATTCCTTTTGGGACTGATTTTGCTAAGTTTTTCTGCCATCTTAACTTTGTTGATGCAATTATTTAAAGGGATTTTGGAGTTCTAATTGGGAGGTGAAAAAGACCGTTGCTTGCCAAACGTGGAGTAGAGCTATCGAAGTGCTTACGCCAATCAAATTCTCGTATTTTAATTTTACCTGATTGGATCCCATGACTACTAAATTCTTAAGTCTAAACCTTGGTTCATCAATTCAACCTTTTAAAATGAACTACTAAGGCTTTGTTTGTGACGGCTTTCTTACTGTTTTTTAAAGCAATTTTTTGATACAAAACTTTTAATTTTTGTACTAAAAGGTTGCTTTAAGAAGCAGAAAAAAAGTCATCCAAAACAAAGCTTAAGATCTCGTATGTAACAACTTTCTTATTGTTTTATAAGCAACTTTATAGTATAAAATTTTTTTTAACTTAAAATTTTTATACTAAAAACTACTATAGAACTTGTGTCTCAATAGATATTTAACATGCACACAACTAGTCAAACTCGTTATAAAGTTAAAATTTTAAATTTAAATGTCAGAATAAACTATTATTTTTTTTAACTGAACATATTTCTAATTTGTGACATTTGTTGATTTCCTTCTCCATTGCAACCTGCACAAGATTTAGAAAAGCAGAGCATGGAAACAGAACATAGAATAAGGAGAAGATGAATGGAACAGTGAGCTCGAAAACTTCTCTTGATTGCTCTTCTGTGCTTCATACAGTTTTATATAACTAGTACAAGAAGAAGATGATGAAGGCATCAATGGACATGATGTAAACCGTTAGAGATCAACGGCTGAATATCGCAATCCTGACATTCACGTTCTGGTACAACAGATGGTAGTGGACTGCAAATAGTAGTGGATATAAGTTAGACAACTTATTGGGCTGCTTGCTTATCAGTTGGCTTATCACGGCCCCGCAAGCTAACAGGAGGTTCCGAGATAGTTAGCTTGTCTCTTAAAGTAGCAAATCGAGAGATAGAGAGCGACTTAGTAAATAAGTCAGCAAGTTGATCTTGTGTATGTATATGATCTATCTAGAGTAATTTGTTCTTAATGGAATCACGAATAAATTGAAAATCAATCTCAATATGCTTTTTCCTTGCATGAAAGATAGGATTAGTAGTAATGGCCATAGCAGATATATTATCAGAAAATAACCGAGTAGGTTGTGATACATTAATTTGAAATTCTTGGAGCAGTCGATGGAGCCAAATAATATCCGTAGTGGCGGTAGCGAGTGCACGATACTCAGCTTCAGTTGAAGATCGAGCGACAGTTTTCTATTTCTGAACTTGCCAGGAGATAAGAGAATTACCAAGAAATGCACAATATCCAAAAGTCGACTTGCGATCAATGGGATCACCCGCCCAATCAGAATCAGAGAATGCAGATAACTCTAGTGAACCAGGCAAGATAGGTAATCCAAATAGAATGGTACCTTTGATATAGCGAAGGAGACGTTTGAGCAATTTGAAATCATCTTCAAGAGGCTTATGCATATGCTGACATAGTTTGTTTACAGTAAAAGCTATATCATGACGTGTAATAATCAAGTATTGCAATGATCCGACAATATGTCTGAAATTTTTTGATTGAACTGAAGACAGTTCAGATTGGGAGTATGACTGCAGTTTAGAAGGAGCCGGAGACGCAATGGGTTTGCACTCAGACATACCCGCACGGTTCAAGATCTCAGCTGCATATTTGAACTGAGCCAAATGAATTACATTTGGTGTATGAGAAACCTACATGCCTAGAAAATAAGAAATGTTTCCCAAATTCTTCATATGGAAGTGAGTAGATAAGCCGTTTAGAAGCTACTGTATGGTCTATTCATGATTGCCGGTTAACAAAATATCATCTACATAAACTAAAATGTAGAGAGTAATGGATTGTTTGTGAAATATGAGCACAGAAGAATCAGGCGAGCTATGTATAAATCCATACTGAAGCAAATATGCAGAAAATGTTTCAAACCATTTTCTTGGTGATTGCTTCAAACCATAAATAGACTTTTGAAGCAAGCAAATATGCTCAGGATATAATGGATCAACAAAATCGGTAGGTTGTCTCATAAGAATAGTTTCATTCAATTTTCCGTGAAGAAACGCATCTGAGACATCAAGTTGTAAAATGTCCCATTTAAAAGTCACAGCAACTTTGATAAAAATACGAATAGTTAGTAGCTTTGCCACTGGACTGAACGTCTCGTTGTAGTCCAAGCCATATTGTTGATGACATCCTTGAGCAACAAGATGCGCTTTATGCCTGGCTATAGTACCATCAGAGTTTAACTTGGTCTTATAGATCCATTTACAACACAAGACATGTTGATTTGGATGAGATGGAATAAGCTTCCATGTGCCTTGTTGCTGTAAAGCATTAAATTCCTACGACATTACTTGTCGCCAAGAGTTCTATTTAACAGCCTGTGAGTAACAAGTAGGATCTGACGAGAGAAGTAAATGATTCAGGCTAATGATATGGCGTGGCTTTAACTTCCCTGTTTTAAATCTCGTAAGCATAGGATGGGGAATATGAGTAGGAGAAGATGTGGAGCTTGTTGATTGTAGAGGAGAAGCTGAAATTTGTGTAGTTGGAGACGGAATGAGACTAGCATGAGACAATGATATTGTTTGATTACTTTGTGGAAGTGATGTAGTTGAGATTATATGTGTTGTTGGAGTACTGGAAGATTTAGTTATAGTAGGGACAAGAGATAGAATTGGAACGTCATGAGAAGAGGGGTTATAGAAGCTGCTTGCTGTTCAAATAAGAAAGGAAAAATAGATTCAATAAAGCGTACATGACGGGAAAGAAAAAGTTTGCCATAAGGAATATGAAAACACAGATAACATTTTATGGTATTAGAATATCCAATAAAAACACAAGGTATAGATTTTGGATGAAGTTTGGAGAGAATTTGAGAAGGTAAGAATGGATAGCATAAACACCCAAAAATGCATAAAGATTTATAATCAGGTGGTGAATTATATAGCATTTGAAAGGGTGAATGAAACTTATTTGAAATAGATGGTAGATAGTTAATTAAATGTACAACTATTTGAACAGCATGTATCCAAAACTTTTGAGGTAAATTTGCTTGAAATAGAAGTGCACGAGCGGTTTCCAAAATATGCCGATGTTTTCGTTCTGCAACACCATTCTGTTCAGGTGTATAAGGGCATGTGCGCTGATGGATAATACCAGATTGAGAGAGAATTAGTTGAAAATTTTTAGAAATATATTCTCCATCGTCGTCTGATCTAAAACATTTAATTTTAGTATCAAATTGGCGTTCAACTAATTTTTGAAATGGACAAAATACACTAAGCACATCGGATTTAGCATATAACAGATAAAGCCATGTTAAACGAGAGTAATCAACAATAAACACTACATAAAATTTATATCCTTGCAAAGATACCATTGGAGAAGGTCCCCATACATCACTATGTATTAACTGAAGAACACTATTAGAACGAGAAGTAGAAAGAGAGAAAGGAAGCTTGTGACTTTTAGACATGGCACAAGCATTACAATGAAGATTAGAAGAAACAAAAGGTGAGATAGGATCAAACAGCTTGTGTAACTTAAGCAAAATTGGATGAGATGGATGGCCCATGCGACGGTGCCATAGCTGAACTGTTATAGGGAGCAAAACAAGAGCTGTGGTAGAGACGACAGGCGATGAATCAGTAGAAATTGGGTAGAGTCTGTGACGAGCCGGGCCTTGAAGGAGAGTTTGACGTGTCTTCAGGTCCACGATGACATAACCGGAAGAATGAAACATAACATAACAAGCATTATCATTAACCAATTTATTTATGGATAAAAGGTTATGATGAAGATGAGGTACCAAATGAATGGAGTTGAGAGAAAGCTTATGAGAAGAAGGTGTAGGTAATAAACCTTTACCAGTGTGAGTAATAGGAAGTAAGTCGCCATTGCCAATAATCACCTGTTGAGGTCCACCGGAAGGTTGAGCATTCTGTAGTTGTTGAGGATCGGAAGTCAAATGTGACGTTGAGCCTGTATCTAAGATCCAATCAGCCGAAATTGGTGAAGTAATGGTTGTATTTGCTTGAACCGGAGGTGGTAAAGAGAAGTCAGCATGATGCCAACACTTGTAGGCAGAATGCTTAGGTTTTCCGCAAATTTAAGATTCAACCGTGGGTGTAGAACTGGAAGAGCACGAGTGTATGCTCCTCTACCGCGAGAAGATCGGGAAAATTGTCCTCGTGTAGCTCTACCACGGGCACGACCACGTTGTGCATACATGGATGGAATGTTATCAGCAGTAGATGATAAAGAAAGCTCTCGAACAGATTATGCTGCTAGATTAAGCTCTTCACTACATAATAGTGAATAAAAGTCATCCAGACTTATGGGATTCAGATTTGTTCTGATGGCAGTTTTAAACGCCTGATAGATAGCGAGTAAACCATTTAAGGTATACATAATGACATCTTCCTCGGACAAGGGAGATCCAGATGACCCAATGGCATCAACCTTGCTCTTAATTTCAGACAAATATTGTACCATAGATTTGTCCTTCATATTTAAGTGATTTAGCTCATTTTTAAGCTGTAAAATGTTAGAACGATTCGTAGATTGAAGACGTCATTCAATTATTTGCCATATCTCAAAACAAGAAGTAAGATCCAGAACATATGGAAGAAATGTAGTTGAAATCGTCGAATACAACACTGCAGCTAAGTTTTGATCAATCAATAGCCAGGTGTTGTAATCAGGATTTAGTTGTAACTCACCAAAAGCTGCCTTGATCATACGGACTGGTTTGGGTGTTGATCCATCCAAATACCCATCAAATCCGTTAGCTGTAAAGAGCTTGAATATTTGCGATTTCTAGAGAGGATAGTTCTCGTCGGTTAACTGAATGTTGAGAACGGCTTTCACTTTTGTCATTAAAAACTTTAGTTGAGCTGGTATAGGGATATCTGCCATTTTTATCACCGGCAAGGCCTGGACGGAAGTTGAAGAAGAAGACAAGGAATCCATTTTGAGAATAGAGAAGCAGAATACGGTAAAGAGAACTAAAAAAAAAATATCAACCATTAATCAGAGTTGCAGCGCTTTGATACCATGTTGATTTCCTTCTCCATTGCAACCTGCACAGGATTTAGAAAAGCAGAGCATGGAAACAGAACATAGAATAAGGAGAAGATGAATGGAACAATGAGCTCGAAAACTTCTCTTGATTGCTCTTCTGTGCTTCATACAGTTTTATATAACTAGTACAAGAAGAAGATGATGAAGACATCAATGGACATGATGTAAACCGTTAGAGATCAACGGCTGAATATCGCAATCCTGACATTCACGTTCTGGCACAGCAGACGGTAGTGGACAGCAAATAGTAGTGGATATAAGTTAGACAACTTATTGGGCTGCTTGCTTATCAGTTGGCTTATCAACATTAATTAAATCAATTATTTTTATGTTTTTAATTAAAATTTAAGATATTTTCAGTTCAACCATTGTATAATTATCCGTAAAAACATACATAAGCCAACGACCTTTCACACATAATTCTCTTACATTTAAGATGATCGCCCCATTGCCATTTCATTAACTGAATTCCCCTCACAACCAATCAATATATTTCATAGTTAGCGACTGATAAAATTAATTTTAATTCAACTCTAATTCAAGTTCTTTGATTTGTTTTGTTAAGAAAAAAAATCTTAAAGACCGAGTGAAACTCCAAAGGAAACCCTGTATCAATAGGAAGAAAATAATGAAGTTGGCTGGAGCTTCCTATTCATCGCTGTATTAGAAACTGAAGTTAGAGTTAGAAGTAATTAAAAAAAAAAAACTAGTCAATAAACAAGGTCCAACCCTCTTTTCGTTGAGAGATTATTTATGATATACATAATAAATACATAATATTATATATTTTTATAAAATTATATATTTATTATGTACCTCACAAATTCAGATCATCTGAACTCCTGCAGGTAATAATTTCTACTTTTTTTTGGACTTAAAAATGTGGAGTGGCTAGTGTAATCAAGTCTAATCAGGATATAATTCCCATGGTCCTGCTCATTAAAAAGATTAGGTGTGTCGATGACTCTGAAAGACATTAAATCTTGATTTTTCATGACATCTGAATGCCTGAGGCTCTGTGGATCCAACGAGAGCAATAAATTTCTCTGCGAATCAAATGAACTGTGTGGCCCACCATGAAGATATTTTGACTTTTTTCTGTTTATGTTGGAGATGACTCTATAAATGTGAGCAACCACATGTTATTTCAAAGTTTCAGAAGTAAATTAAGATTATTAGTTATTTTGTACGATGCTAATATCATTAAAATTTTTAATTTAATGACGCCTTATATCCGTTAACAAATTTATTCTCAAAATTTTGATAATTCTTAATAATATTGATAAGTTTATTAATATAGTAATAATAACTATAGTTATAGTCTTATAGATGAAATTAATATATATATATATATATATATATATATATATATATGGTGTTTTGAGAATTTCTTTTAGCAAGTTTCATTTTTTAACGCTGAAGTGATTTGTTTAATCAAATTCAAACTATGATCTTTATTTCGGTAATATTTCTATTTCGGCCAATGATGTGCTAAGTATTCATTTCAAATTATTTTTATAAAATTAGTGCCTACAACATT